CTTCTGAGTCACATAAAAACACATAAAGAACAAGAAATACTGATTTACTGAATTCTTTTTGTGTCAAAACTTCAAAAACATAAATGAAATTATTAAAGTAAAAACTTGAACTAATCAAACAAAACGTGTTAAAAATAATAGCAGGTTAAATGTAATAAAAATGTTCTCCAGTAAAACAGAATCTGAAAATCTGAGCCAAGTGGGCGGAGCTTCCTGATGAGGAGGTCCTGAGGTCCAAACAGAACAGGATCAGATAAAACCGGTCCCTTGGCTTTAGGACTTCAGTAGAACGATGGTTCTGTAAGTTTCAGGCGATTTTATTTGTTTTATTTTTTTTATTTTCAGAATCAGAACTAAACGGAGGTCCGGCGGTCTGATGGGGTCCAGCTGAACCGGGTCTTTCTCTCTCTTCCTGCTTTTCTTTCTTCAGGATGGATGGAAGCGCCGCGGCAGGAAATCCCAGCGGTGGCTCGTCTGGACCCCTTCCTGCCCCCGCTGATGAGGAGACGCTGCCCCGGGTCTCAGAGAACCGGGACCAGGACCACCAGAGTCCAGCAGAAGCTTCAGAACATCAGGGTCCCCCCACAGAAAATCTGGAACTTGAAGATTCTTCAAACAATGATCTGAATCCAGATCAAGGAGCACCAGAGAACACCGGTCCAGTTGGACCAGAACCAAGAAAAGCTGATCCTGATTCAAGACGGCCAGAACTGACAGAAAAACCTCCAAAACGGGGTCCAGAAAAACCAGATTCTCTTGGTTCTGATCAGAGCAACAAAAGAGATCCTGCAGAACCTGAACAAGAACCGGGTTCCCTTCAGAACCAGCAGGAAGCTGAAGAACCTCCTCCTCCCTCTGAGGAGTCCAAAACCATTCAGAACCTCCAGGATCCAGCTACTCTCCTCCAACAGGCTCCTCCTCCTGACGACCAGCAGGCTCCGCCCCTCACCGTGGAGGTGTTCAGTGAGCAGGCGAGGCCCCGCCCTCCCGCGTCTCCWTCAGGTGAGCCCAAACTGTGCGGCTACCTGCTGAAGCAGGCGGGGCCTCTGAGGACCTGGAAGCAGCGCTGGTTCACCTACGAGGAGAAGAGGAACCAGCTGTTTTATTACCGCACGCCGCAGGATGTGACGCCACTGGGCCGGGTCGACCTGAGCGGCGCCGTTCTCACCTACCCGCTGAAGGCGGAGAAGGGCACCTTTCACATCAAGACACCTGAACGCACCTTCATCCTCAAGGTAGGAGGTCCAGAAACGTCCGGTTCCACTCAGGTGGTCCTCTGAACCCAAACGAGCATCAGGATCCAGAAGTCCAGATTCAAAAAGTTCTGATTRTTTATGCTCTGATTGGTTACAGACTCGTTAAAAAGCTCGTTAAGAGTCAGAAACGATAATTAAACACCTGGTTTTATTTAAAGAAAGTAAAAACAAAGATTTAATGTCAGGAAATAAAACATCTTTTTGAATTGAGCCTGAAAACAGATTATTTACTGAACTTCAACTATTTTTATTATTTTATTGTGTGTGTGTGTGTGTGTGTGTGTGTGTGTGTGTGTGTGTGTGTG